AATAGCACTCCAACCTTAAACTGGAAAAATATTAGCAAAAGATGTCACATGAGCTACGAGTGAAATTTCTTCCTCAACAATTATCGTAACATTATTATAAGCACTTACAGTTGAATATATAGCAATCTTCGAAATAGTAGCAAATCTAGTACAAGCTAAAAAGATTTACAATTATGATCTGATTTCTTTTAAAATGCATCTAACATATCTCAACTCTAGACGTCTGCAGTTACAAAATTGTCATATTTGCAAAATTTTATTTCTTGTTATATTTATAAATATGGCAAAAATATTTCTCACCCACTATAATTTTATTTTTTATGTAACGACCTACCTTTGTCGTTTTTTTTTTCCAACCATGAATAATGATCTCAAAATCTGTTGTGAAAATGTGTCCTTAGAGTAAAATACAAAAGAAAAAAATGTTTTTCAAATATATATATCTAAGATTTAATTACTTAAGAGGAAAAAAGAAACATAAACAGAGAAATATGAAATATCTTTGCAGGAAGCTGGTCTATATGCTGGGCCGAAAATGGAGACTTAATGGAAACATATATTTATATAATTTATTTCTGCTAATTAATTAAATCTAAAGTAGTTAAAACTTGTTTTATTACTTTAAATTCAATTTTTTTAGTTCAATAATTACGGAGAGGATCAAACTATTGACTTTAGAGGTGCAATAGGTGACTTATTTACTAAGTTGTGTTCCAATTATCTAATTATTTTAATTATGTTTATACTTATATTTGTGTAATTCTATAGTTCTATAATTAATTACACTTAATGTGATTGCTTGAAATAAATAATTCACTAACTAAATATGTGCTCTAAAATTTCTAAATTGTTGTCTTAATTTTCAAACCCTATCAACTAATTGTTCATTATATTAATATGAAAATATTTTACTTAAATTTTGTTATCTTATAATTTAAATAATAAGTAAATGAGTTTTTTTTTTTTTTTGTAATCAAGTAAATGAGTTTTTAAATTAACTTTTACACGTTTTATTTTCACAAACCAAGCATGTGTTAGGCTTCATATTCCTTGACATATGTATATGAACCCTATTTTTATGCACACATTTGGTACTCTTATTTTCTTTTTGTACATCAATTAAAAATGGTAAATATTAAAATATTTGCATTAAAGGGGTCGTTTCCTAATAAAATAATAAAATAATATAAAGGTGCATTTATGAAAATTTTCTGATTCTGGATTATAGCAACCCAAACAACTCTTAATTGGGCCAGATTTTACCCACAACTCAAACGTCGGCCCATAAACTGCCCATTTTAACAGGTCGGCCCGCCCAATTCGCATTTCTCAACAAAAACAAAACAAAATTTTCAGGCACAAATAGTATAAAATAAAATATGTAGTTTTCCGAAAAATAAAATATATATTTTCAAATAATAACTGATTTTTTAAAATTTTAAAAATAGCATAGTAGGAATCAAATTCGAATGTAATATAAAATACACTGAAAAAAAGTCACATTTATACTATATTTGAAAAACAATATTATAAATTGTGACGCAAAAAAATTGTGACCTTTTGAAAAATACATCTTAATTTTTTGTTTAGCACGACGAACGGCATATTAAATTATGCTATCCCATCGAAATTTATAACGTCGTGAACCAGCTTGATAAAAGTTGCAATTTTTAATTTAATTTCAACCAAAAAAAAAAGTAACACAATAATTTTCTGAAACTCATTAATTCTAACAAAGTGAGTCTTTAAAAATCAATGCAAACACTACCAAATCTATATACAATATCAACTACAGAATAAAATTTCCAAAATTCACCATTTAAATAATAATTAAAAAAATCACGCCAACTTATTTTTTCTTTATAACCCTATTAATTTTATACTAAACTTAGATCTACTAAATGCACATCATAATGGCCGGATTGAATATAACTCAATTGGTTAAAAAGTACCTATCTCCGATCAAAATGTTGGTAAGTTCGAATTTCCACACTACATATTGCACTAATAAAAAATGCACATGACAATATATTTTAACGATGGTTCAAAATTAACTGGAGCAATCAATTTGTGTCCTCACAAAAGAGCTCAAGCGAAAAGATGAATATTTACTCCTTCGATTCATATTTTGATACATTACTAATTGAAATATTATATTATTTTAGTTTAATGGACATGCGACGTTCTTAGTTCTCCCTTCAACACCAACAGTTGATGGAAACCGAACTGTCTCACAACATTTTAAACCCAACTCACATGCCACTTGTTTCAGGTATAGTTTTGTTTGATCACAGATCAACATGTGATCTATCATTTCACCCATTTGATCAATCAATCGTCTTAATCAGTCTTAAGCGAGCTAAAAATGAAGCCCATTTCTTTGAAATCTCACTAAGGTAGAATGCAACGTAGCAGTGTCTCGAGGGAGGAGTTTATGGCCTTATAGCAGGGCATACTTATTTTTCTTTTCAGGTCTCGAGAATGGGTAGTCCAATGGCTGATATGACAAATTAATTAACATGTGTATAATTTTTTTATTATTATTATTTGTTGGAAATAAACAGGTGTATAAAATTCTATTTTCTAAATTTTTCCAAAAAGAATCGTGTCACGCACACATCGAAAAGACACGTACAGACGTACTTGTCATATTTATTAAACGACGACGTTGACGCTGAATTCTGCACCCCATTGGAAATTTCCCACGAATAATCCTTCAACTTGACTTCTCGAGGACTCTTTCCCCCAAAAATCACTTGAAAAATGGCCCTCATCCTCCCAAATTAGCAAAGTAACTCTTGCAGCTCTTCACGGACAAAAATACCCCTATACAAACTCACTACTGTACATTTTTAATTAATATATTTTTAACATCAGTTTTTATTAGATTTAAAAATCCAGTGGGCTTGTTTCTAGCCTTAAGAATATTGCTGTAATTAAATCATGAAAATATGTAGATAGTTGAATACATTTGATTTTAAATTATAAGAAGTTTATCAGGTCCACTCCATTCATTCTTTTAATAATTTTTTTAAAAATAAATTATAACTCAAGAGTCTAATAATTATATTTATATAGGTATAAATAAAACGAAATCTTATCAAAATACATTTTTAAAGGTATAAAAAATAAATTGACCGTGAAATTACTGGACTAATTATATTTTGGCTTTTTTATTAATTATAAAACTAATAATAATAGAAAGTTAACTTGTAAGTAATAACATAAGGGACTAGAAATAGTTTTTTTTTTCCCTGTAAAGTGACTAAAATAATTTTTCTTTTCCATCCAAACACTTCAAACGAATTTCTTCAATAATGGTTATTTATGCAATGCAATTATTTTCAATTATATTTATCAGGAAAAAAATTATTTTCATTTTCAATTATAAAATTTGTATTCAATTTTTTTATCCTCCATTTTTTACTTTTCAATGTTCCATTTATGATTTATAATTCTTAACTTAAAATTTGAGTATAAAATCTATTTTGGAAATTTATTATTTTGGTCCTTCAACTCTGAAAAATTACATTTAATTTGTTCTTTAAATTTTTTAAAAATAATTAAAATTTTAAAATATCTATTTAATCTGTAGTTTTTTCAAAAAAAAAAATAATAATAATATATAACCATTTTTGCACTAGCTGGTATTATACTGTCTAATTCTTCCCACCTAATTTTTGTCCCAAACGATATATTTATGATACACGACTTCATTACAATGAACATGTTTTTATTATGATCAATGGTTAAACAAAATGATGGCAAAATAACTTGTACCAAAATGTTTTTTTTTTTCCTTTAAAATTTGGAGATTTAAATAAATATTTTAAAATTTTGGATACCAAAATGAACTAAAAAACTTAGGGGCTAAAACGGATACTAAGGACAAAAGTATAATGATCCCAATGGACATCGGATAGTAAGTTACAACTACGTAATTTTTTACCATAATCCATATACTTTTAGTTATTGTTTATTTTGATTTCATGTATTTTTAGATTTTGGTTCATTTTTGTCCATATACTTTCAAAATGTTTATTTTAGTCGTCGTACTTTCAACTTTGATCTATTTTAATCTTTATCTTTGTACTGAATTTGTGTTAAAATTTAGCAAACATGGATCAAAATGATCAATTCAAAAGTACAGAGACCAAAAAGAAATTTTTAATAGGAAAATACTCATCTTAGGGGTGGGCTTACTACTTAGATGCTTTCAAGAGTCATCCACTCCGCACTTGGCTATCTAGCATTTACCGTAGGCACGATTTAATAACTATTTTTGTAACTTCAAAGTATTTCCGTTATTGCTCCTACCTATTATCTGGATATACCAGTAGAGTTTAACCAGCAGCTTTGTGAACCACCTAAAAAATGAATATTTATTATTGGATCCATATATGGGATCAACAAATATGGTCCAAGTAATAAATGCCCAAGTTTCCTTCGGGTCCCAGTTCCAATATGATCTCATTAGCTCATATTGCCCCCAATTCAATCTATTATTTATCATTCATGGACATTGATAAGATCCTTCAGGATCAATCGTCCTTCAAGTGGGGCGCTTTTTCTCTCGAAGGTTAGGGGTGAAATGTCACTCAAGAGGAAAACAACCCGAATCACTAGCTAAGACCCTAAATGACTGCTAAGTGATAAAAGAGGTAGGAGTGCAGAGACAGAGACAGTCATGAAATTTGCCCACGACCTTCTCTTGAATTCTCGAAGCTTATGTCACTCCACTTAAATTTCGAAAGTATTCAGTTTCACCCTTAAGATGCAAAGGCTTACCTCACATTTGACTAAAATAACTAAACTTAAAAGTAAGAGAGAAAAAAAAATTGAAAATGGGAAGACGAATGAACTAAAGCTATAATTTACATACTACTGTAAAATGGAGAATGCAGGGGCAATTTTATCTTTTCACAACAGTTTAAGAGCTACATTTCTCATTTTCGAGACGACAGCGCTTCTCCACAACGGGACTGAGGGGCTGACTATAAAAAGCTCCTCTCTGCAACTATTGGAGCTCGTCCCTGGAAATGGCGAGCAAGCTGAAGGTTGATGAACTCCGTAAGCAACTGGCTCGACGTGGACTCGACACCTCCGGAACTAAGCCCGCTCTGGTTTTCAATCCCAATCCTTACTCTTCTATTCTTCCGAATCGCATTCTCCTTCAGCTTCCGCCTTCCGGTGACAGTGGCGTTCCTTCACTTTGTTTTGTTTATGCAGGTTCATCGCCTGGAATCCGCCATTCGCGAGGAGGAAGAATCGTTAAAAGATGGAGGTGCTACTGCAGCTGGTGGGAAGAAGAGGGGGAGGGACTCGGAAGATACTGGAAATCCCGATGGAGGTGACTTAATCGGAGCTGTCGAGAAGTTGCGGGAAATGAATGTGCAGCAGCTGCGGGAGGAAGCGGTTCGTCGTGGCATTTCTTCCAATGGGTTGAAGAAGGAGTTGCTGAAGAGGCTTTGTGAAGATGTGGAGAAGGAAGAAGGGGAAGATGCAGAAGACGAAACTGACGGTATGGAATTATATTTTGACTTGGGGGATTTTTTATATTGTGAAGAATCAGTTGCGTTTGGCGCCTTGTTACTTGTTTATTGCGATTCATGTACTTCCCGTTAGGTGTAGATGTTACGAGGTTTGTTATTAGAAGCTAATTTAGTCAGTTGAACTTGGAAGAAGATTTCGGTTATCAAGATATACAAACTGCGAATTCTAAGTTTGAGTTGTAAATGCACTAGGAGCACGAATTGACAATGGTCGTTATCAGTCTATATCATTAAATTGGGGGAAATTTGGTTTTCGTGATTTTTTCACAGAAAGTAAGGATGGAAATGTTGGTACCAAGGAGAAGATTATTACTGCGACCAAAAAGGGTGCAGCGGTGCTGGACCAGTGGCTTCCTGATCAAGTCAAGATAGAGTATCATGTTCTGCAAGTGGTAAGTCTCAGTTTGAGTAGAAATGATGCCTTTTTACATATTATGTTGTTTTCTAAGCATGAACAGCAACTATTCATTTGCAGGGTGACGAAATTTATGATGCCATGTTGAATCAGACAAATGTTGGACACAACAATAACAAGTTTTATGTGATTCAAGTTCTTGGTAAACATCCTCCCTTATATGAACATTAGATAGATACCTTAGTCGATTTTGATTTAACCGTAAATGTGGTGCGTCTTGATTCTGAGGGAGGACAAAACAATCTCCTAATATTTTTGACATGGGTTGAACAGACGCAATCGAAAGTTATAATTTTAAAGTTAAAATTGAAAATACTGTGCCACTTGGATGAATAACTGACAATGATTATAAGAATTTTCCATTGAACTATTGTCATTTAAATTTTAAAACAACAATAATTAATTGAAAATAGGAGATGAGTAGAGTTTTCATGCTTTTGTGTAGATTTTGTAAAATTTTCTAATACAGAGAGTGTAGCTTGCATTTTTTTTTCCTAAATGGAAAATAGACAGGGCTTTAAGCTTGACTCTTAAAATTAGTGGAACTTTCCTTTATTGTTGAAGAAGTTATGACAGTTTTGATGAAGCTGTCTTGGCATTTCATCTAGTTGTATATGATTTATTGAATGCTGGAGTTTCCATCATATGCAGAATCTGATGGTGGTGGTACTTACATGGTTTACACTAGGTGGGGAAGAGTAGGTGTGAAGGGTCAAGACAATTTACAAGGCCCTTTCAAATCACAAGAAAGTGCAATACAGGAATTTCAACAGAAATTCTTTGCTAAAACAAAGAATCACTGGTCTAACAGAAAAGGGTTCATTTGTCACCCAAAAAGTTATACCTGGTTGGAGATGGACTACAGCGAAAATGAAAAAGAATTATCGGTAAGTGGTCCCAATTCCAAATGTCGGTTTTCACATTTAATTTATGAATATTGAATCTTGAGGTACACATTAAATAATATAGTTTAGTTTGGTATAACATGATATCCTTTCTCCAGTTTATTAGAAGTGAAGCTATCTTGCTAAGTATAAAGTAGGAACATTTGAATTAAAATACATGAAGAAAAAATTGTTAAAGAGGTCTTATTTTGGTAAAAATGCACCTTCGATTCACAGAATACAGATACCTTATAGAATAAAACATTGCATCTAATCATGATATGGTGCCAGTATCCCTTTCTTCCAAGGTTTCCTGCGTTGGCAATGACCTTTCTGTACAAAGGACATTGCTTGCTTCATTATTACTTGAGCATCTATGGAGCGATTATTTAGAATTATACAGGAGAGAATAAAAGTTGGGTTTGGCATACAAAGAATTACACTAATTCCTATTTCCGACCTTTTACCATCCTCTCCCTCTCTCATCCCAAAAGTGGAAATGCCAACTGAATAGACTGAGAATAGGAGATGGAGACAAATGATCCCCATCCTTCTAAAATTCTCCACTTAAAAGTAATCGAAGTGGGGGCTGCGGATTTCTTTCAGTGAAATGGTTATCCACAAGGATTTTTCTCAAATGAGCAGAAGCCTTTTGGTCTAAAATAATTAATTGAATCAAATACTTTTTGTTACTTAACGTATAGAAGCCTTTACATAGCAAAAATATGAAAAATTCATTGATATATTTAGTAATATATTTTAGTAGAAATGCAATAATAGTATTACCAATTTTACTTCAGAAAACAGGAGTAAGGTTGATCCATCATTGTTCCTAAAATTGAAATATAATAAAGAATTGTCCTTGTCTCGTCGCCATTAAAATGAGAATTCCACATCCCATTGAGTGGGAATTTCTATAGGAAAAAATGACCTCTGTACCCAAATGGAAATAAAGTTAATATTGTGCTTCTAATGACTCCATTGTTGACTTTAGGTCAATGAGATACGTGAATCCACTTCAGAGATTCAACCTTGTGAGACGAAACTCGATCCATGCATTGCAAAGTTTATCTCTCTCATTTGCAACATTAGCATGATGAAGCAACAAATGATGGAAATTGGTCAGTTGACCCTTTTATACACTTCCAATATTTTTGTCCCTCCTAGTATGAGGTTAATATCAAATATATATATATATATATATATATATATATATATATATATATATATATAGATGGATAGAGCTTTATTAAGTGATCACTTTAAGAGTTCTTTTGAATGAGTTCATTTGTGTACAACCGCCTGAAGAGATATTTGATCCTAGGGTACAATGCTGAAAAGTTGCCACTTGGAAAACTGAGCAAATCTACAATTTTAAAGGCAAGTGCTTAGTCTGTTGAAATTTCTTATTTGCTTATGTTTCAACAGAGTTCTTAAGTTTGTCATATATAAATGGCACTTTTCTGTATTGTTATTCTAGAATTGGAAGTCTGCTTAAAAATGAATGTCATGCTTGTTTATACTATGTTACTAACATTTTTGTGCTCCTAACTTCCCATTAAAAAAATTACTTGCACTTATATGACAAGCTTAGGAACTGTTTGACAAACTAAGTTTTTGACTATTGCCATCAGAAGTGTAAGATTCTACGTAACCATTAAAGGGAATGTCTTTTTGTAAAAGTTCTACATGAAACAATCAGAAAAATGCATGCTTGGGAAAATTTTAATTTTTGTAGTAGAGATATTTCCCTGCATTTACTGGATTAATTATCATGGAACTGCTTAGGATTTCACCATATCTCTAGCGTGTTTGATATAATCTCGAAAAGCTTCAAAATTTACAATCCTTCGAGCGTAAGACAATTTATTGCTTTGAATTTCAAGACTACCATGGAAGGTGCTTCAAATTCTGAGATATATTCTTGTCATTAAAATACTTTGTTAGAATGAATACTGGATTCTTAATTTCTCATCCTTATCATGATTCTTGGTGCTAGTCCTGCTGGATTAAGAGTGACACAGCTTCTTTCTGCTCAGTAGTTTTTCAATTCCTAAATATGCTTTTGTGGACAACAAAATGTTCTTAGGTCGAAGTATATGGCTTTCTTAGCCGGACAGTATTTTAATTTATCAATAACTTGGTAAAATGAAAATATTCAATCATGTGTTTTCCTTTAAACTTACATGCAATTCCTTCGGGATGGGTTATGCCAATTGTCTTTCTTATTTATGGAAGTTGATCTTGGACTTTTAAATTTATAATGCTGTGCCTCTATTTATCTCTAGTTCTTCATGTACGTTCAGCCCGACTAACTTCATTTTTTATTTATGTTAGGGTTATGAGGTCTTGAAACGAATTTCTGATGTGATTGGTCTGTCAAAGAGAAGTCTACTTGAGCAACTAAGTGGGTAAGTGTGCACCTGATGGACTGTGTTTGTCTCATCTACGCACGTTCAATAATCTCAAAATTCCTAAGAGAACAATATAATTCTTCAAATTCTGTACCAAAAGTTTTGCATTCAGTTTTGACTTCTAGATTCAAAGGTGTCGCAAATTTTTGGCAGGGAGTTTTACACTGTAATTCCTCATGACTTTGGATTTAAGAAGATGCGTGAGTCCTCTCCCTCCCTCTTACAATCACATATTGCCTTAATCTGAACTAACAACTGAACCACTACGAAATTTATGATGGCAGGCGAATTTGTGATTGACACCCCTCAAAAATTGAAAAGCAAGTTGGAAATGGTAACATTGCTTTCCCGTTTCCACTATCTAGATCTTCCCAAAATGATTAAATAATGAGAAAAATGAAAAAAACTATACGAAAGGAATCCCTTAAATATTTCGCTGTTAATTGATCACCTTTGTAGCTTGAGCTTGAATTGTAACCATAATATTATTCTAAATGTGATTTTGTTATTATTGACTTGAAGGTTGAGGCGTTAGGTGAAATTGAGCTTGCCACAAAACTATTGGAGGAAGTTAATGGCATGCAGGTACTACTATTGCGTACTTATTAAGAAGCAAATGCCGATTCCTATTCCTGCCTTAGTTAACATTAATCAACTGAATTACAAGGATAACCTTGTCAAGGTGCCTTTCCTATATTTGCAATATCTAGATGAAATAATTTCCTAAAAGTCCCATGGCCTTTTTATGGATCACAATATACATGATTTTGGTTTCTGCTATTCTCCTCTTGACTTCTGTGGTGAGGCATAGTTTAGAATTTTGACATTCTAAGTCTTTTATGCTACTATTTCAATGATGCATATTCTTATCTTATAAATTTTTGTTTCTTATGAGAAAAACTAATAAATTTAGTATTCTTGGAATTTGACATTGCCAACTTCCTGCATTTGATGATTTGCGTCCTGATTATACCTGTTCTTATTGACATGTAACATCTTTTGATATATTCTAGATCTAGGATTTGTCTTGTTAGAAGAAAAGAAAAAAAAAAGGATCTAGGATTTGTTGAATGCTAGCTAGCTGGTTCTATTGCTATGTTATGTTTACTGGTCTGATTCTATCATTATGACAGGAAGATCCCTTGTATTCTCATTACCAACGCCTTCATTGTGAACTATCACCAGTTGAAGCTGACTCTGAAGAATTCTCTATGGTAATGATTGTATTTCAATTTGCATGTCAAGTCTTTTAATTTTGGATGGATAATCAGAGTTCCTTCCGGATTCATTGCTATTAGTGTTGGTCAGAAATAACAAGCCTTTGGTTTTTGTATTTCCTTTATTTTGTTTCCAGGTTTCAAAGTATGCACATAATACACATGCAGAAACACATTCAAATTATGCCGTTGATATTGTTCGAATATTTAGGGTATCAAGAAAGGGAGAAAATGAGCGTTTTGAAAAGGTGTTTGGCATTACCTGTGGTGTCATTATCAGTATGTCTTTCCTTATTAATAAAAGACTCAATCCAATTTATTAATTATTATCTTTTACACTGTGAATAGTTTTCTAATACGAAGAACAGGAAGCTGTTGTGGCATGGTTCTCGGCTTACAAATTGGACTGGCATTCTTTCCCAAGGTCTTCATTTTTAAGTTTCACGTTTCCTCCCATGATCTTATTTTTGCTAGTTTGTGGTTGTTAAGTCTGATTACTTTGCTCTTACCCAGGTTTGCGCATAGCTCCACCTGAAGCACCCGTAACAGGTTATATGTTTGGGAAGGGGGTTTACTTTGCCGATATGTTCTCCAAAAGTGCAAACTATTGTTATGCATCTAATGCCGCCACAACCGGTGTGCTGCTTTTATGTGAGGTTGTTATTAAACTTACTATATATAGGTTGTTATTTTTTTAAAATTTCTGGGAATGAATTTGAACTCACTGAATACTGTGGAATAGTGTTAGTGTAGAACTAGAGAACTTGCGACTTACTAGTAAGAATTACAGTATCCAGACATTCATGGGAGTTCACTGCTTCCTAAACTAATACTAAATTTCCCTCCTAATTGAACTTTATCTGGTTCCGTTGCAAATTCTCCACTATCTCTTCCAGTTACTCACCAAAAGCTATCTCGCCCAATTAACCCACTTAACCGTTTTCTTCTTAGATCGTTTGTGTTGTCGGGTATAAACAAAACAGATGGAAAGTGGAGTATATTTATCATATTAACCAGTAATCTATATGAGCTCTTGCCTTTTGGCTGCCATATTTTCTTTTTGTAGTTTTTTGGAGGTTGGTAACAGCTCCAAACAGGCTGAACTCATGTGCCGCTTACTGGCTTTGGCAATGTGATTGAATCCGAGTAGTTGTGCTTATCCCACGTTTAGTAGTGGTGTTAATTTCACTTGTGATTTATTCTTATCATGAAAACCTTGTTTGCCTTCAAATTGAATGTACTTACAAACTTGTCCAGCTGTGAAATCTCTAGGTTGCGCTCGGTGACATGGCTGAACTTCTAGATGCAAAATACGATGCAGACAATTTGCCCGAGGGCAAGCTCAGGTTTGTTGCCAAATCTTATTGAGCACGGTAACGAATATGCATATAAAGTTAATATACATTAACTTATTAGCTTTTAAGCTTTTGAATTTCACAGTACTTTAATATGATATCAAGTTAGAGGTACATTTAATTTCCTCCTTGTTTCATACAATAGTCCAATTGTTCTCATATCACAAGTGAAGAGAAGCGTCAAGAATATGTTTAAAAAATTTAATATGCTCTAACTTATAATTAACTTAAGTTTTTAGATTCAGTGGTAGTTTAATAAAGTAAAGTTTGCACATGACAGCGTGGCCATACAATTACTTCTATGATTATTTCATTTACGACCATCCCCTTGAATGGATCTCCTAAAACCTAAAGTTAACGACAGCGTGGACATACAATTTTAATTTTTCTCACAGACAAAACTTTCACGTTTGCATGAGCTTTTATGACTGAGGTCTTAGAGAAGCAAAACTTAATATGCCAAATATTGCAGCACGAAGGGAGTAGGACAAACAGAACCAAATATCTCCAAAGCTGTGACGCTCGATGATGGTGTCGTTGTTCCCTTGGGAAAACCAAAACACAATCAGCGTCATAAGGTACAGTTTTCAGTAACCCACATAATATTTTTTCCATGTTTTTTGCATCAAAATCCGTTTCTTTATCTTTTACATCATTGATCGATTATCAGCAAATTTTAGTCTGAAAAATTGTATGGATACTTCTCACAGGGCGCCTTGTTGTATAATGAGTATATAGTGTACAATGTGGATCAAATTAGGATGCGCTATGTTGTTCAAGTGAATTTCCGTTTTAAATATTGAACTGGCAGCACAAAGCATTGCTCAGTTCAATCTCCAAGTGTCCCAGTTCTAGGTCAGTGGTACTATCTTATGGTGTGATTATGGGAGCAAAAATTTGTATTAGTAATGTGATATTGTAAAAGAGAAAAAGTAAATAAATAAAAGAAGAAGAAAAGAATGTTTCCTTTATTTCCCCTTTGTACAAGTTATTGCTGATAGGAAAATCGAATTGGAATTATGATCCCTTTGGGTATGTGAACCTCTAATTTACAAACACTAAAACTCTCAAATTGATCTATTGCTTGAAGAACAAAGCTCTTGTATTTAGCTCAAGAGTGGAACACTTCACAAGATAGAGTGAATCACTATTAACTTGAAAAGAAAGTATATGGCTACAATTTTGTTATCATTCAATCTAAAACTGTAAAACAACTTAATCGTCACGCTTTAAATAACCTCCTTGCTAAACTCTAAATGCCACGTCATCAACACAATATATAAGAAAGACGAAAACATCCCTAGATAATATGTTAAAGAAATGGTAAAATTTAAAAGAAATAACTTTACTACATAAGAAACCTTTAAAGAAATGGTGACTTTTACATAATTCTCTCTTTTTCTTTAGGCAAAAAGAAAAGAAAAAGCAGTGAGAAGAATGATGGGTGAATGGGCAACAAGTAAAGTAACCTATTATTTTTCTTGTTCTTGTGGGAGATCGGGGAAAAAGATACAACCAGTTCAAGAATCAATTGCAGAGACAAAGATTTCAAACCAATGAGGTACAATTTTTGTTTTGTTGTGTTGCTGTTCTTCTTGATTCGTCTCCCAAAAGTCAAACACGCTTCTCTTTCAAAAGTCTCCTTCTAGATTCCACCCTTACCTCACTTTCAATCTATCCTCTTCTCCCACAACATATGTATATCCATCTCCACCACACCTTGAATTACTTTCTTTTTTGTTTTTTGGATACGTTTAGTTTATTTTAGTTACGGGTGTTCACGGGTTTGGTTGAGTCAGGTTACGACTAGTTTTGGGACAAATCTGAATTTTCGGATTTGCCATATATAGGAACCGTCAGATTTGAATTGGATGGTCAACCCAATTCAACCCAACCCAATATTTTCGGGTTGGATTGGGTTGAGTTGTCGGGTTGTATTTTTTTCTTTAATTTTCGCGACGATGGGAAGTTAGGATTAAAATTAAATGGACGGATGAGATTAAGATACAAAATAGAAGAAGATAATATGAAAACCTTAAATGAATGGCTATGACTAAAACTAGATGTAAGGTTGACATTGAAGATAGATATATTATAAATATATAATTAAAAAAATATACATATATGAATAAATTCAGGTTGGGTTGAGTTGATTCGAATTTTCAAAGGTTGAACCCGATACCCAGGGTTGGGTTCATCAGGTTAGTCGGGTTGTCGGATTTTTTGAACACCCCTAATTTGGTCCCTTCATTTTGGTTATCGTACTTTTAGAAGGTGATCGTTTCGGTCATTTTATTTTCTTCCTTTATCTCTCTTTTTTTCGGTCAAAATTTCAATACGACACAATACCCAATAAATTTCTTGAAATATAGTTATAGCTTTTGATTAGAGGGTTTCATTAGGTATAGAACTTGTGTTGAAAATTTTTAAATAGAGACTAAAATGATCCGTTTCGAAAATTTTGAGACGAGCAAAGATTTTGAAGGTACTGAAAGTGCCCGGAACAAAATAAACTAAAGTTATTGAAACCCACATTTTGAATCTTTGTATTTTCACCTTAGCTTAATTCTTTTTAGTGGACTCCTAATTTAATTTAATTCACAACTTTTAATTCATTCATTCATTATTGTTCATATCTTTTGATTTAAATGTATTGGATTTTCGTATCACTAGTGAGAAATAACAAAAATCTAATGCCCACGAGTGGTTTATATATGCAATTTCAAAGGAGGAGATCGCCTAGCTTTTGTTTTAACGATTTAATCCCTGAACTTTTAATTATAATGATTTAGTCTATGTGCTCTCATATTGGTAATAATTAGTCATCGAATTTTAATATGTAAAAATTTAGTCCCTATAGTTTAAAATTTGTAATAATTTAGTCTCTACCATGAAAATTCTCATCAAAATTAAGCGTCAATTTTTATCATATAATGATTTGATTTTTGTAATTTATAAATAATTCTTGAACTCTCATTGATTTATCAATCTACATATATAAAAAATTTAACAATAGGAACTAAACCGATGCAAACTTAATTTAAACTTCAGGGACTAAATGGTTTCACGCTAAATTTCATGCACTCAATTGTTACCCATTTGAAAGTAATCGATCTAAATCATTAMTTTTAAAATTTAATGGACTAAATCGTTACTTCAACAAAAAAAATATATATATATACAAAGTACAAAAACTATAAGTGTTTTTTAACTGCGTTTAAATTCTATAGGCATTAATTGGATCATTGTTGATACATGGACACTAAAATTATAATTTAATCCTATATATAAATATRTATTCCAACTCACGTCATCAATTTTGGAGCAGGTGTTAATTACCGTTGATCTATGCTCGCTTTGACCTAAATCTAATATATTGAAAAGTAATAGGTAGCAAAAATATATTTCATACTTTTGTCCCGTCCCCATTAACAATTTATTATAAATATTAAATTAATAATTAATTAATCAATAATAAAAAAGATTCTTTTAATTATAATTCAGAATAGAATTCAAGAAGTTTCGAAATTCTTTATTTTTAGTTCTCTAGTTTCGAATACTCTACCGTTGTTGTTAAAGTATATATTAGTATATTTTATATTCTTGTATTAATATTAATTTGTCCTTTTACCTTCTTCTTATACGATTAGATCAACCTTGTATAATGAGAACATTAGATTCTCTCCAACCTTAGTCTCAGTTTTGAAAGCATTTCAAGATTTTGGTGGCATATTCAAATTGTGAAGTATGCGTGTATTGAATTATGTCACGAATGCAAGTATTCAATAAAGTACCAATAAAATAAAAAAATTATTTCCACATATGCAGAAAAGGGAAAAAAAATTATAAAATTTAATGCTTGAATTTTGAAATTTTAGTTCACCCAAAATGTGCAACTCACCGTTTAGGTTTAAACAGTGAAACACTCTATCTTATGATTTTTTCTTAATCAAGCCAATATGTGTATATTTGAGTGGTTAAGTCATCTGGCTCTTTTTCTAGAGGTCAGAGGTTCAATCTTTCATCCTTACCAAACTAAGCAACCTTCGTCAATTATTGTCCACTAAACTAATTAAGATAAATAGTTTTTTTTCTTTTTCTTTTTGGGTTTGGCTTTGATTTTCTTTTAACATATGTCTTTAAATAGTTGAGCTATGCTGATCATGTTAACATGAAATTGAAAGTTTTTTAGTACAACAAATACGAGTAACTATTGAGTTATGTTCATATTAGCGTATGAAATTTGTTTGGTAAGGCTTTAAAAAAAGAAAAAATAAATAAATAAAGCCCAATGAATTGAGCAACTTTAATGGTGGCATTTGAGAAAACTTGGTCCATACTCAAAAACTCAAAAGCCTTGAAACCCAAACACGCAAACCCTAAAAGCAGTACAATTTCTCCTCAACATAATTATTCTCATTCTTCAATTCAGATATGATCCTTTCACAAAACCTATTTTTTTCACTTCAATTTTGGATTTGGGTGTGTGTGTGTGGGCACTCTGACAATTGCCTTTAATTCCGCACGCTCGGTTTTGGTTTACATATTCATCATTTTTACACAATTTTCCATTAATCCAAACTCATCGTCTAGATAATTGTCTTAACCAGTTAAGCAATGTTCGGGTTGACAAATAACTCTTCAAGTCTCGTTCTCCCCTATACGTTTCTTTCCAATATTATTAACTTTAGTTAATACTATCATTTTTCTTTTAGTAGTACTCTATTGCCTAATTACATCTCTATCCCTCTAGACTACTCTAAACTACAGCGTGAGAATTCTTTTTCTCTGAAAGAAAAAGAGAGAATGTTTTCATCGCTTGGTTATGCTTATGTTGATTCTTCTAAAAGGTTGTAGGTTTTTATCCCAGCTACACCATGTAGCTATGATACAGTGGTGGTTAAGATGTTTTCTATATTTTTGGTATTACGTTGTGAGTTCGAATCTCTACCTCGTATTTGTGATGTAATATTCCAAAAAAAAAAAAAAACTTTCCGATGTACATTGGTAGAAAAATCCAATATCATTTTAGAACTTAAGAATGGTAAAACTGACCCCTTTTACCATAACCAGGTAGATACTAGAGAAATCTTTTTTTCCCTTTCAAATCTAATATAAACGTGACTTTTCTGAGTGTGTTTTATATTACATTTGAATTCGATTTTACTTATATTTATTTATTCTATACTATTTATATAAACACCTCTACATATTCTCAATAGATTTTGTGGATTTCGATTGGCTTCAAAGAGAGAAAAGAATCGACTTTGAGGACGTGTATCAATTTTTCTTAATTTGATATCTTAATTTACCTTTTTTCTCTTCTTTTTTGGGGGCATTAAGGAACAATTGGGTTGGTGATGTTTTTATGAAAAAGTGCATTGTTTGGTCTCATTTTGAATTTTGTTGCACTACTTACAAACTTCATTATGAGGGCATGGCATACCATGCCAAGGCAAGGCAAAGATTTTTCCCCTCTCTCTCTCCAAACTTACAGTTATAAATACCAATGCCTCTTCTTCACCTTCTTCCATTTCACCTCAGAAGAAAAAAGAGAGAATTCCATGCCAAAAAAAAAGTTTGTGGGATTTTTTCGACGGTGTGGGTGAGAAGGTTCTCGTTGGAGAAGCAGGGCACGTGCAAACTCGGCCGTTTCTTAACCCTTTGCACGTGCTCCCCTTCTCCAACATGCCCTCCTCGCCTTTTCTTGTTCTCTCTAACTAGTATTACGGAGCAGACTTTGTAGGTAATTGAAACTCATATGATAACCATTTTGTTTTCCGTGGCATGTTTATAGAATTTTTTTAAGTATTTTTCTTGAAAATATATTTGTACTGAATTCAAAAAACAAAGTTCTTTTAAGAACTACTTATTTTAGTGTTGTGTGATGACATTTTGATTTTTAGTTTTATACTTCTAAAAATATGTTTGTTTTTTATAATCTCAAGGTAAGATTTTCACCTCTCTTGAAAATATATTTTATTTTTTAATCAAATTTTAAAAACAAAAAGAAAAGATTACATATGTGAAGTTAATGTTTCTTAAGCTTAATTTTTAAAAACTATAAACCAAAACAAAATGGCTATCAAGCGGAACCTTAAATTTTAAATTTTGATTTAGATTTTGAAAACATGTTTTAGGAGTAGACAACATGAGCAAAGTAGATTTTGACTAGTGAGAAAGTATGTTACTAAGTTTTGTTTAACTGTCAACTTGAGCAAAGTTCAACTGGTTAAGATATGTATTTCCAACCAAAATGTTGTAAGTTCGAATCTCTACCATTTGTTGTACTTGGACCAAACTTTGTTTAACAAAAAATATTTAAACTGTTTTTTAAAAATAATTATATGTAGATATCTTAGTAATTAAATTTTATATTTTTAGAAAATTGCATAAATTTTTTTGACCTTTTTATTGTTTATTTGACCTATATAATACTGGTTTTTTTCGTCTACTGGAGAATTTTTTTTTAGTTATTTTAGTTATAAAAATGCAGATTTGATGGGAAACGAAAAAAATTACATTCTACGCCGTCTGTGGGGATCGAACCCACGACCACGTGGTTAAAAGCCACGCGCTCTACCACTGAGCTAAGACGGCTGGTTAAAAATTATGACCATCAAAATTAATTTAATATTTTATTGTACTAAGTAAGTTGAATTACAAATTTAGTAAGAACTTTTATAGTTTAGTCCAATAGGTCGTAGTCTGTCAAACTTTATAGTGCGCTGACTATACTATTTAAAGATTATGTGGCTATAACGTCTCAAATGAAATTTACCACTTGAGATAAATTTGTTTCGGTCTAAAATTTGGGTGGGGTATGGGGTAAATTTTTTAAAAGCTTGATCGAGCAAGTGAGAAAACGAAACAAGGGTGGATTTAGGGCACATTTCCGAAAACTTGGGGCAGTGTAATTGGGAATGGGTTTTAGGGAAAAAATTTTGAGACGGTGAGAAGGGAAAAGTACGGTAACCTAGACAAATTAAAACACATGTGAACGTACCTGTAAAGGGAGGAGGAAGGAAATTGCGCTTGTCACAAAAATTTTATAGAATACAATAATAAGAACTTATTAGACATATACCTAAAAGTTTAGGATCTATTATATACAATTTTGAAAGTTTAAGAATCCTACTACACACAATCGTGAAAGTCCAAATGGCTAAACTTGTAATTTAATTAACACTAAGCTAACACCGCGTTTGACAAAGTTAACAACAGAGACCTATTTGACACGAAATTGAAAGTTCAATGATCTACAACGCCTTAAAAGTTTATGGACTAAATTTGTAATGTAACCTAGATAATATTACATTATAATGATAAAAGATTAAGTCAAGACTACAACTATGAGGAAAGCATTGTTTTGCAACAAATATGGGCTTGAATGACGAGCATTGCTCGTCATCAAAGATAAATGATGCCGATAAGGTGAATAATAAAGTTTCTAAAAATTATGGCCGTTTAAAATAACTTGTTCTACTCTATGTATCACCACCACTTGTATATGATAAAATTTTATATTTCAAATTTTCTACAATTATTTCATCAAATATGTATCAGTATTTCATAGGTTGTTTAATTAGGCAACTAAAGACTATATTTGATTATAAAGCTAACATAATTTTAATTTACTCATTCAAATAAAGTCCAACAAATCTTCATTATCCTATTCCAGACATTTTGGTCCGCATTTCCATGAGTAAGTTACTAATATGTTTACTTATGATGGGTAAAAGTGATCAATTATAACTTAATTAAACTACAACTAAAGTTTTATTTACTAATTCAAACAATTTCTGTCTATTTTTATAATTTCCATAATTTTTTTCCAAATATCTGTGGACATACGTATTTTAAACTTTTGTTATAGCTAGTTATTAAATACATTAATAATATTTTTACTTTTACAACTCTACGTTAACTTGGAGCAAAAGAGTGTAGGTAATTAAAATAATAGTAAATTTTAATTATTTTACTATTGTGTTATTGATAATAATATTTTTACTTTAACAAGTTATTTAATACTAATAAATAATTAATAATTAAAATAAAATTACATCACCTGAAAAAAGATTGGATTAATGTATTTTTTGTTAGATGTATTTGAAATATTTCTAAAAAACACGAAAAGAAAAAGAAAGAAAAGGAAAAAAAAGAGGAGAAAGTAGAAACCGAGAAAGGAAGAAAAACGCAGTGCTTGTTCTTTTTGGCGCCTCCGAAGTTGGAAACCCTCGCTTCACGCCGTCTCCTCAGTCCCATCTCCGGCTCCGTTCCCTCTCGCCGGCCGGAGATTCCAATTCTTCGCGTGCAGCCATGGGGGGGAAGATACAGAAGAGAAGGCAAGATAAGAAGAAGATGCGCGACGAGAAAAAGCACTCAAAAGTATCTGAGAAGGAGAACAAGAGCAGCAATGAGAGAAGACTGAACAGAAGGGGCCCTCGCTTGGCCCCCTCGCTGCAGAGGGAAATCGATCGAATGAACGGCACTAATGGGTTCGACAGTTATGAGGGCGGCGATTCTGATGCGGGAGAGACTTTTACCGGGGATTTTTATGAGTATGAAGAGGTTATTCCGGAGGAGGAGTCCAAGAAGAACCGCCGTTACGATGCAGTTGACAACTATGAGTACGAGCTGCCTGATCATTTTAAGGTCTGGGTCATTATTTTTGGTTCACCGTTCTGTTCTTTTAGGTTTTATCCTATTTCTTAGAAATTTGATTTTTCATACTCCGTTGAATTAATGAATATTATGAAAGTAGTAAAATTAAGTTTTGAACTGAAATTTGAAGCTTGGACATCGGTATTTTAAAATAAAAGGATGTGTAGCGTTAGTAAGTTAGAATGAATAGACTACTTCATGACCGTTGTTTTAATATTGTATTTGGGGGTCAATTTTGGATACTACGAAGCTCCATTATTCTGTCTTTGTGTATGAACTACACTAAATGCATTTTGTGTACCATGGTTGGTGGGTTCTTAATGCTTCTTCTCATTGTAGGACGAGAATATATTCTCCGATGACGAGGAGGAGGGAGCTTATGGAAGGGATGGTAAAGGAAACTTGAATGATGATTCAGATGATGCTGATCCTAAAAATGACGATAGTGGAAGTCACGCTAGGATGTTACAAAGTATTACTGGAATGCCACGTGAAGCATTTGAAGGTAGTGTGATTATAGTATGCACTTTGCAGAATTATGTATCTAATTTGAATAAAAAGAAATATAAGAGTATGAAGGTTTGCTCTGGGATTTGAACTTTGGACCCATATCATTGTTAATCCGTCTAAACCTCACATCTCACTAGAATTTTTAGAGATTAATCTTCTAGTGTAATTTTGTGATAGTTGTATCTCTTCCTCTATGTTTTATTTGCTCCAAGTTAACGTAGAGTTGTTTCTCTTTACTAGATCCTTAGGAGACTGACCTTCATTAACCTTAACTTAGTAGTTCAAGTTTCTTGGTGTTAGCGGTAAATGTTATTTGGTATCATAATTGTAGATCTTAAATACCTCATTTCATCATTTCCTTCATAGTTAAAAATAAAAATTTTGCATATTTAATCTCTTTAATAAAATTGAAAATTTTCATACGTGGAGGGGGACGTTAAAGAGACTGTTTAGATACTTGAAACTTCTTTGATGTGATAGCTTAAATCTTTTGGAATAGTGCATATAAAAATTCTATGGATTGTTCGAATATGCTTATGTTAATTTGAATTTTGATAACCTGTCTTTCAGGGAAGAAGAAAAATAATGTTGTTGTATCTGAGGCATATCAAGAGTCTGAATATAATCCCAGTCGTGATGTTTTGGATGGTAATGGTCGCATTAGCATTGAAGACCTTCTTGATCCTCTTCAAGGAAAACCTGGCTATAGCATGCTTAGAAAGAGAACATATCAAACAGAGAAAAAATCAATGGCACTGCAGGCTCCACTTCCTAAATCAGATCGAGAAAGAGTTGAGAGAAAAGTGGCTTATGAACAGTCAAAGAAAGAAGTCAGTAAGTGGGAGCCAATAGTCAAGAAGAACCGGGAGGCTCCTACCCTGTACTTAGGTGAAGAAGCAGATTTGGGATATTCTACTGTAGGAGCAATAGCTTCTGAATTTGAACCCAGAACTGAAATTGAGAAGAAAATTGCTTCACTTGTTCATGATGGGAAGATCATTGAAGCTCACAGAAAAGATGGTTCTAAGCTTCTTGAATTAAACAAGGTATTTGGACTGTTGCCGTTTGCTCATGCTGTTTTACATCACATTGCTAGTGTTTATTTTCTCGTTCCTTTTATTCAAATTCCATAATGTCTACTCTTTCGAAATTTATTGATGTCATGTGACAACTTAGGTATTGTGTTGGAGATGTCTTCTGTCTTTATCTGTCCTTTAATTCTTTTGTTCTTTTTTGAATTAATAAACCACAATGTTATTAAAATGCCAGCATCTTTGTGTCACTTGACCTCTATGTTTGATAAAATTCAGACGAGATTCCACAGATCTTTTCTTGCATGTCCCTTATGGAAGCTGGGTTTTAGTGATGTTATTGTACTTTTCTTGAAAGAAAAATTAGTCTGGTTAATTCGTTTTTTTTAATACACAACATGTGGGGTAAATGATCGAACTCACAGCCTCTTGGTTGGAGATATATGTCAATTACCACTGAGCTATGTCCGCTTTGGTAGTTAATTCGTTTTTTTTAATGCAGAGAATGGATATTCTATGATATATTAATCCATTAAAATTTTCTGTTTTTTTTTATAAAAATGTATAGATGGTTTATCCTGAACCCGTATTTACACTTACATTCACCAACTGGTTTTAATCTAATTTTCTTCCAGAGCTTTTATGCATGTTTATGATCCTTTATATGAATTAATAGACCACAAAGGGAACAAAGTTGAAATGTCGGATCGTGTGCAAGTCATTTGACTTATTTGTTGGATCAATTGTAGAAGTTAACAAATCAGATATTGCATTTCCATTATGGTCCTTATGGAGGCTAGATGTCATTATTTTTTGTCTTTTCTTAAGAAAAATTGATATGGTAATCAGTACAGATGTAGCTAGCCTTTCACTCTACTTTATCAATGAAAAGTACTCGGTCACAGAAATGATTATGTTAAAGTATGAAACAGAAACACTCAGAGTCACATCCATCAGTTGAACTTTATTAGATAAAGATCCTAAAGGTCAATCCAAACATCATCACATTATCACTAATAGGATTGACCTATTCTCCAACTTTGTCTTCAATGCTTTTAGAACCTCAATGGTAAAAGTAGTAAGGCTCTGTGTTGTATCAATTAATATCAGACATATGTGGAGGAAGAATAGGCATAAATCTGGTGTTATTCTAACCATTACACAAGGCATACAGGTTCTGTTGTGTCCTCATGGAGGTGTGAGCCTCTTACAAACCAAAGAAGGTTTAAGTTTTGAGGATTAATATTTGTGTATTGCCATGAGGTGAGCTTTTTAGGATGCAAGTCATACAAATGTCTTTTGAATATTGCATAGGCCTTGTTGTAATGCTTAGGTTGATTGCTGATAGTTTCTTGTTAAATTTTTGGCAGATATCATTTGAGGATGAGAAGGATCGCCAGAATCGCATTGCTAAAATGCGCAGCCTTCTTTTCCGTCATGAGCTGAAGGCAAAACACATTAAAAAAATCAAATCAAAAACTTACCATCGTTTGTTGAAGAAAGATAGAGTGAAGGGGGCGTCTGCCCAAATTGAAATGGATCCTGACGCTGCTAAAGAATTGGCAATGAAGCAGGAGTTCAAACGGGCAGAGGTAAGATTATTTGTATAGTTATTTTTAAATATGTGATGGTTATCTTAACGGGGTTGAATATAACAATGTTCCTCATAAAGCTTTTTTCATCCTGCAACTCCTTCCCTGACAGTAACTTCAGTTCAATCTTTTTAATCTTGCCTCTTGTCTGTTTTCATTTAGGAGCGCATGACTTTGAAACACAAAAATAGCTCACGGTGGGCAAAGCGCATTTTAAGTCGTGGTTTGGATGCCCAAGATGAAGGTACACGAGCTGCAATAGCTGATCAACTCCACCAGCATGCTACTTTGACACGAAAAATGAACACACTGAACGATAGTAGCAGTAGCAGTGATGAAAGTAGTGATGAGGATTACTCAGATGAGCAGTCAATGGATGAAAACTACAGCGGGGCATCAAAGTTGTTGGAGAGAGCAAAAGAGAAGACTTTAAAAGCATTAGAAGATGGGGATGAAGCTCCAGAATCAGGATTGCTTGCTTTGCCTTTCATGGTAATAAATGCTCGTTATAGTGTCCGTAGTTTCAAGATCAATGAATTATATGAAATATTCAGATATAATGATTCTATTTATACCAACTTTTATTTTGAAAAACAATAAAGCAGCATTTTAATGGAATGATGTTAAGTTCTTACTGGTATTTGAAGCTATAAATCATCAGACACCTATAGGTTATATATTGTCATAGGTCATTATTGTTGAAATACTATGTAGGTTCATGAATAGTACTACTCTTTCACACAAGACTAAGAGAAAGGAGAAAGGATGAAGGTAAAAGGGAAGCTATATTATTCCTTTGAACATGATTTTGCTAATGGCATCTTATCAAAAGAAAAAAAAAAGAAAGAAAAAAATGATTTTGCTAAGGAACTATTGGTAACAGCTTTTTGTGTGTTGTGGGGGAAAGGGGAGTTGGAATTTTTTGGCAGAGGACATTTTAGCTTCAACCTTAAAAATATGAATCTGTTATCTGTTATCTGGTTTGCGTATGTTAAATATTCTTGGTTGATAATTTATTTGCCTTTTTCTGGTAGGTACGTGGAATGAAGAAAAGGGAAGAGGCAGCTGCTGAAGAGGCTAAACTTGCCCTTCAGGAATTTGAATCGCTTTCGAAGCAGCTTAATAATTCTGCAGAGACGGAGAATATAAATACAGGAACTACTAGTGGTAGAAGAACCTTTGGTGCAATGAAAAAACCTGCTCCAGAACCAAGAAATAAGATGAAATCAGAAAATTATTATGGTGACACTGATGGCGAAGACGATAATGAGGCTAGAGAAGAGGTTGATGCTGGGGACCATAAAAGTAGCAGTCCAGTTGTTGATGTGAACATTGGTTCTGATATTATTTATGAAGACTCCAAGAGGCATCAACATTCAGTTTTTAAAGTACGAATGTTTCATAATTCTTTTAAACCAGTGTCTCTTGTCTATTTAATTATTTCTTTTTCTGAATAAGCATTTTTTCCATCTTCTTGCCCAGAGCTTTGATGAAACTGTTAGAGATCCAGGTCCTAAGACAACATATGAAGTTTCCATTTTTGCATCAGACACATGGAAAAAGGTTGAAGCTTTTGTTCTTTCATTGTATGTCTAATCATCTTGTCTTTGTTAAAACATTTTGTTTCGAGTAAAATTTTTATAATTACTATGCATCCGATATACAGGTGAAAAATCCTGAAAAAAAACCGAATACTACAACCGCTGCCACCAAATCTAAACCAGCTTTACAACGTCAAGTTCCCAAGGTATGATTGCTTTCATCTATCAACTTAGCGGGGTTATCATTATTGTTGTTGTTGTTATTATTACTATTAATGATATTATCATGTTTTCCCTTGATCTGATGCAGGAAACTGTTCAAGATGTGGATGATCAAAGCGAGTCGGATCATGAGCTGATGGTAGAAGGGGCTCTTTCCTCAGCTAATAACGAGTCTTATGAACTTCCATCTCAAGCAGAGTTGATTCACGAAGCTTTTGCAGGAGACAATGTAGAGGAGGAATTTGAGAGGCAAAAAGAGGAAATTCTGAACGAGGAAAATCCCGAGCCTGAAAAGCCTGTACTACTACCTGGATGGGGCCAATGGACTCACGTCCAGAAGAAAAAAGGCTTACCTTCTTGGATGCTGGAAGAACATGATCGTGCTAACAAGAAGAGGCAGGAAGCTCTCAAGAATAGGAAGGATGCAAATCTCAAACATGTTATCATCTCTGAGAAGTTGGATAAAAAGGTCAGTGGCGCAGCATTTGCGAAAATCTCTGGTACCCATTCAGAAAATTGGAATTTGCAATAGCTCTTAATTTCTTATTAACCAATGAAGCACGGACACTTTATTTCGGATAATGTGTTCATGTTTGACACGTCAAACACTTGAACACTTATTGGATACGAATCGGTCATTTGTAAGTCCAATATACGTGTGTCATACACTAGTGGTATAAAGTGAATATAGTTTGTTAAGCATGTTTGAACATGCGAATGTTCAAACATGATAAATATGATAAATAGACAAAAAATAGTTATATAAAATAAATAATAAATTTTGAGAGCGAAATAAATCAAATGTTTTTAACATATAAATGCATGTTTATTGACTTTTAATTTTCTTCATGATATATATTTAAAAATATGTATATTTCAATAGTGTCATTTGTCCTAGATTTAAAAAAAATGATGTGGCAACATGTCCGTGGCGTGTCGTGTCGCATCGTGTCTTGTATCTTCTTGCTTTCGAGCCTTTAGATATTGCCATTAAAGTGTTATGTCTTGTTAATGGTGATTGAATGGGCATTTTTTGGCGTTTCAATTTGACAGGCTGAGAAACTCTATACAAAGACACTGCCTTTTCCTTACAAGGAGAAGGATGTATTTGAGCACAGCATCCGCATGCCTATCGGCCCCGACTTCAACCCAGCATCAGCAATTGGAGCTCTTAATCGACCCGAGGTCAGCAAACTCGTTTTGCATTCAAAATTGCAGATAGACAGACCATTCTTGATAGAAACATTTTGATTCCTTTTGGCACTTGGTCTAATGGGAGCTATTCATTTTACACAGGTTGTGAAGAAGTCTGGTGTTATCATAAAACCAATCGAATATGAGGAAGTCGATCCTCATCGGAAAGTCGAGGAGCAAAAACAAGGTGGGCAGAAACAGAAGAGAAAAAATGGCAAAAGCAACAGTGGAAAAACGGCCAAAAAGATGAAAAAAGCTGGGGCATAAAATCAGTTGATGATTAGATTACAGCCTCACGGCCACAGCTTTGGCGAGGCTTGCAGCAGGCAAAGGTGAGAACTTGGATAGAGAGGGTGATTTAGGAATCTATTTGATGGAAAATTTTGATCAATTTTGGGCTGAGGCAATCTGATAATAGTTAGGCTTTATTTATATTTTATTGTATGATTTTAGTTTAGTTCAATCCAATTTTGCGCTGTATCATTATTTTTTGTATGAAACCTGGATTGGAAATTTTTGTTGATATAGATTTAAAAATCTAATGTTGGAAGATAGAATAAATTCTTGCAAGTGAATGGTGTTTTTGATTAGGGGTTTGATTAGGGGTGTGCACAGGTTGGGTTGAGTTGGGAGTTTTTTTTTTTTTACCGACTCAATTCTTCTACTCGATAGAACTGAAACAAATGGGCAATCCAACTCTAATATTTTTGAGTTGGGTCATCGTTGTGTTTTTTTTTTTTTGGTAGAATTGGTTTGCAATGAGGGGCTACAAACGGTTGAACAATGAACGACAGTGATCGGTGAACAGCGAACAATAGCAATAGACGAAGGAATGGACAATGATGAGATTGTGAGAGATGAGGGTGAGACCGTGTGAATGAGATGAAAACTCGAAAGATCTGAAATTTTTGGAAATAAAACCCCGTGATTTAGATGAGAGTGAGATACGAAAAGAGGAGCGGATGAAATTTGAAGGTGGTAATTATATTATTCTGAACTTATGAATCGAATTAATCAAGTTGATTTTGTTCTTACTTAATTCGGTTATTTGAAGTTTGACCTAATTTGGCTCCATGCAGTTTGAGTTTTTTTTTTTTTTTTTTTTTTGGGTACCTCCTAATTTTGACGCTATTCTTGAGAAATGTTAGAGGAATTCCCTTTGAGTTTCATTTTCCTAATGAGGATGGGACCAGGTAAATGCTATATTATATGCTGAATTGACAAAAATATAGAACTTGATTTGGTGGTCAAAATACAAACGTATATTCTCCCCCCAATGTGTAAATATTTAATTTAGTTTTTAATTGTTTAAATATCAATTTTTTTCCTTTGTATTTTCTATATATTGAAATATCACGTCTTTTTCAAACTTCTTTTGTAGTTTTGTATCTCAATTGACCTGATGTGACGGATTAATATTATTATTTGTTCGACATATATCTTCAATCAAGAGGTTTTGAGTTCGATCTTCCACCCCACATGTTTACTTACAAAAATATCTGTCCATTTTATTTAACAATTGGTTTAAATACTATTTTGATTCATGTACTTTTGAATTTTTTTTTTTAAACGAATGTACTTTCGACTTTGGTTTATTTTGATTTTTTAAAAATGTCTATTTGAGTTTTTTTTACTTTCGATTTTGTTCATTTTAGTTCTTATACCTTCAAAATATTGGTTTTGGTCCCTATACTAAATAACTATTATCGTCTACAATTTACAAAATTTTATATGTAATAGAAATTCTTTTAATATAAATTTATGATTACATTTCAAAAAAATTAACGAGTGAAGTGTCATATTAAAATTGTGATATCAAGAAATGAAATGAATATGAATATGAATGGACCAAAACGAACGCTTGGAAAGTACAGAGACTATGATCAACAATTAAAAGTACAGGGACAAAAATTGAAGTTTTAATTATACGGACCAAAATAAATCAAAATAGAAATTTTATCGACTAAAATAGTATCCGAACCCTAATAATACATTTTAATTTTTTACTATTGAAAAAAAAAAGTATTTTGCACTGCATGGAGGTGGCTAAGTATGTCAGATCAGAAATGTTAGAGAAAAGAGAGAACAATTTACTCGAGATATAAATTATATTAGTCTATTATCTATCTACATCAATTTATAGATCTTCTAAAATTAATTTAGATAACACCAACCTAACATAAATTTATGTAGTAAAATGACCTTTTTTTATAATTAAATTTATTAGGTAAATAGTATTTTACTCCACTTTAAGCCTTTGAAATATTTGCTTTCTTCAATTAAAATATGATATTAAACTTTTGTTTGTTTTTTTATGAGATAAATACATCCTCATATGCTCTTAATTAATTTTTTTATTATATAAAACAATCAAATAAAACCATCGTGGGATGATTCAAGTGGTCAATGAGGACCAATGTATTCGTAGGATTTAATATTCTACACGGTATCTTGTCAACCAAATGTAGTAGGATCGTTCAAACGCTTTTTAATGGCAAAAAATTTCCAAGGAACACAACTTTTTTTTAGTTCAAACAATTATTATAGTTGAAAATTGAACCATAGACAACCTAACAATTAATAAATTATGGAATTTCCACGATGGCCACATACTTTAGGAATTAATTCTTTTGTACCAAATATTGTAGGATTAGATAATTATCCCGATTAACTTAGGCGTACTTAAACTAGTCCGAACATTCACAAATATCAAATAAAAAAATTATGGAATCTAAATATTAATGGGACAACCCATCTTCACCAACGGTAGGCGCAGCCGTATGGTTTAGACTAAATATTCATATAAAATAAATAATTATAATATTCGCAAAAGCTACTCTTTTAGACGACGCTTTTCTCCGCTGTGTGTCTTCACTCACCAACTCCCTCAAAACTTGCTCATACGCTGCGAGGGAAAATTCCCTCAAAAATCTTATCTTCTTCCCTATCTGAATCTTTCCTCCGAGTTCTTCGACCTTCAATCATGGATCCCTGTTCTCAAATCCTCGATAATTCCGAACCCAATTCGTCGGAGGACCAAATTCCGACTGTTCTGGTTCAATCCCCGCCGCTCGCTGTCGCTTCCCTCACTTTAGCTCTCTTAACCGCCATTCCCACCAACTTTCTCGCCCAGTCCAGATTTTCTGAGTTGTTTTCTCGGCACCCAAACAGGGATAAAGTTCCCACTCAGGCTTCTTCTCTTGCTCGCTTACCCATCTCCTCTTCAGCCCTGTGTCCCCCCAAAATCTCCCTGAAATCCACCATTTCCGCGAACCCGCTTCAAATCCCTCTCTCTATCGGCCCGCGCCGCCCCTCCGAGCCCTCAAATGGCGCCGGAATTCGTCGAGCTACCATCGTCTGGTTCCGTAACGACCTACGGATCCACGATAACGAATGCCTAAATTCCGCGAATAACGACTCCGTGTCTGTGTTGCCTGTCTACTGCTTCGATCCGAGAGATTATGGCAAATCGTCGTCTGGGTTCGATAAAACCGGGCCCTACCGTGCCGCATTTGTAATTGAATCGGTGTCGGACCTGCGGAAGAATCTCCAGGCGAGGGGTTCTGATCTTGTGGTGCGAATTGGGAAGCCGGAGACTGTTCTGGTTGAATTGGCGAAGGAAATTGGGGCGGATGCTGTGTACGCCCACTACGAGGTTTCGCACGACGAAATGAAGACGGAGGAGAGGATTGAGAGCGCGATGAAGGAGGAGAATGTGGAGGTGAAGTACTTTTGGGGAAGCACTTTGTACCACATCGACGATTTGCCGTTCAAGATGGAGGAAATGCCGTCGAGTCACGGCGCCTTTAGAGAGAAAGTTCAAGGGTTAAGCGTGAGGAAGACGATTGATGCTTTGGACAAGATGAAGGGATTGCCTTCTCGTGGTGATGTGAAGCCTGGAGATGTTCCAACTTTGTCGGATTTGGGTCTCAACCAACCTGCGGCAGTGTCGAAGGTACACATGTTCTTCATTGCTGCTGCAATTTCATTTTGGTTTTTGCTTGTTTGGTGAAAGAGGAGGATTGTTCTGCTGTTGTGTTCAATTGGGTAATGTTGTTGCCGAAGGAAGAAGTTGATGAAGATATAAGGAAATAATACAGTAGGCCCAATACTTAGTAACTAGGAACTGAATGGAGGCACTAAAACTAAAATCCTCTTGTTTCTCATGCAGTACGCTAAAGATCCATTTCTCTAATAGGAGAAGTTAATATCAATTAATGCTCAATGATTGAACAAGTTGAACAAGTTGATATAGTTGCTAATTTCAATCCAAAAGCTCATGGCTTTTTAACTTGTATTTAAAGTTCTGTGATGTAATGTTCTGATCGCATGGGAAGAACCTGGTATAATTTCATTGAAATTCTGGTTTTTGACTCAGAAGTTCCAAATTGTAACTGTCTTTCTCGGGTTCGGTTGGCATATGGTTGCATGATGACTATGCTACCAAGAAATTTCGGCTATTGCTTCTTGTTTGAAAGTAGGTTTAAAATTCTGAATCCTGCTAGTGGAATTGGACTATGAGTTACAAGAAAATGCTTTAGATTTCTACAAGTTCTTCAGAACAACCTCAATAGTTGACTTGTCGTTGTCGTCATGGCGAAGAGGAACTATCGTTGGAGACCTTTTCGATTTCAGATAACCTAAAATTTTCTGCTTGAATCAAGTGGAATTTGTGCTCTTGAAGTTGTAGAATTTATAGGTATTTTTTCGGGTTACATCGAACAAAAATCTTGGGTATGCCTTTGCATATTATGGACTTTTTAGATTTAGACCGCACGTTGTTTTGGATTTTCATGCTGCAAGCTGATGTTCTAGATTGAATACTTTTGATCCTTATGTTTTCTTGAGATGTTCTCTACTGTTCTTGAAATATCTCAACATTGTAAACTTCATCATGTAGGAAGGATGGCTAGCTCCCAATACTTCTCAAATGGGAGGGGAGACTGAAGCACTTCATAGGCTTCAAAAATATGCAGCCGAGTGCAGAGCCCAACCGCCAAAGACGACGAAGAACGGTGCTCACAGTAGCATATATGGCGCTACCTTTTCAAACAAAATTTCTCCATGGCTAACCATGGGCTGCCTTTCACCTCGATCGGTGTTTGATGAGCTAAATAAAACTGTTTCCAGGTGCATATCAACGCCCACCCTTTTCATCTTCTTTTCTTGGCAACATTTCTGATCCAAAGTTCTCAATTATGAGAATCTTCTTATGTGTTGGAACCCTTTTTGCTAACAGGAATAATGGTGGCAATGGCACTGGAACAAACTGGTTGATGTTTGAGTTATTATGGAGGGATTTCTTCAGGTAATGTAAAAATCTATGCAACTCAATTTGCTCTGGAAACTTGTTTTTTCGAGTCAAAATCTATCCTAATTGAATGGACTAACTATTTTTTCTTTATAAGAAATAGAACGTATAGATCAAAAAGAGGAGAGAGCAACCAAAGGCAGGAGTCGAGAAGGCCCCCCGGAACACTAATGCATTACAGCTTTCCAATCCTAAGAAATAAACGTTAAACAGTAGTTACAAAAGAATCTCCTAACCAAGATCCCGTGCTAATTTGTACATTTGAATCGATACTTTAGAGAATCGACCAGCCCGCCAGAGATGGTTTAAACTAATCGAGTTGACCTGATTAGGTCAGATTGGTTTATTTCAATCTTTGGATACCAAAGCGGCGAAGCCTAAAAACATACAACCGAGCAAAAGCCCACACGTCCTCTCAAGAAATCCTGTTAGTTATTTCAATCCACAAATCCCATACAAGTTTTATTGGTTTTCTTAATTTCAGCTTGCACTCTTTATTAGAGTAGGTTTCTAAAACTTAATGAGATAAGTATGTTGTTTATCATCTTCAATTCCCTTGGTTTCACCTTGATGTTTGTAAATTTCTGCATTGAAAAGCATGGATTTCCGAAACTGATTGACAAAAGAAGTTATTGGTCTCTAAGAATCAATGAGATTCACCAGTTCTGTACTAAGAAATCCCTGTGTGTAATTGGTAAAGTCTAAACACCCTTATTCTTAGAACACTATATTAACAACACTCAATTATTGGTCTATTGCAGGTTCATTACCAAGAGGTACAATTCAACAACAAAACAGCCTAATCCTTCTCCGGCCACGGCTTGCACGGGCGCCGCCCTTGCTTAGCGGGAGTTGAAGAGCCAGGCATATCCTCGTGTTGTAGTTGTTTCTTGATCTTTCGATTTACCATACACTGCGCCTTTGTAAACGCTATTT